CGAGTTACACGTTTCGTAGGCATTGTATGATTAGGTTTGGGGTCCTATGCTTCGCCTAAGGCATAAAAGTAGTGCTGGGTCAAACCTCTTGTTGATATTGAGCCGCTTTTGTGCACCAAGCTTTCATTTTTCTACAGCTTGCTTGAAACATTATCAAAATCGAAAATTCCAAAGTAGACGCTAATACTTAAAACAATTTTTCATCGGTCATATGTCGGTGTTGTGAGGAGTTTGGAACACCACGAAACGTTTACATGTATTGGAGTAAGCCTCGAATTTTTCTCGGGCTCTATATACACAAATAAACAGTCAAATATTTAACCGTGGCAGGATCAAAGTGAGTAACTCTCTTGTGCGGACAAAAGTTGACACTGTATAGCACGTCCTGGAATGTACAGTGACCGTTGTCACAAAGTGTTACAAAGTTTTAAGCTGTAAAACTGTTCACAGTGAGTCAGCCTTTTTTCAGTGTGTTTCCTGGGTTCTTGGGCAGTAATTGGGAAATTCCCCCTTGGCTTATTGATTGTGGGTTCTTGCTAAGCCTTATAGACGCCACGAAAAGTTTGGATGACGTCAGCACGCTCGTATTCTGGCGTCTCATAAAATGCACCTGCAGAGAAGATGTCACATTTCAGGTTCATTTAGTGTTACCCACAACCGAGAGAAACCACCAAAGCCATGTTGTTGCTGAAGACCGTGCAGATGATGTCGCTGTCATTTGGGTAATTGAAGAATACAAGTACAGAGGACGGTACCAAATTAGCGATGTACATACACTTTTCTTAACTTAGCCATTCAGTTGTATTTACATGTACCGTTGGATGTACTTCCATAATGTGATAAATTGCTTGAAATGCAAACTGCTGCAAACTGATTGCTGACTAAACTGACCTAAAATACAAATCGCAAAATGATATGGAGGGACTGACGTTTCGATTTCTAGTAGAATCTTTCTCAAAGGCAAAACAATGTGATAAAATACATTTACGGTTTACAACGTGCGAGTTTTGTTGCCTTTGGAAACCGTTGGGATTTTTCAAAAAGAGGCACCGTGGAGACAAACATCAGCCATAGAACAGAACAGAATAAACGTTACAAAAAAATGGAGTTACGTTTGAGTCTCAAGTACGAGATCGGGTAGTTCAAGTAATTCCTACAATGCCGTCTATGACGACCCCACCGACTCACCAATTACCGGGCGGTAACGGATGAAATCTCACAACTTGCACTATAGTTAACGAGTTCCAGAATTCACTTGACATGTTCGAATCTGTATTTTGGTACATCTAAAAATAACAGGAAGCCTCGGGGATAACAGCTTATATTCCCCGGGTATATTTCTGGCTAATTTCTTGGATTTGACTTTCATTCTAATGATACGTAAACCGCAATGTTGTTTTTCTTGATAGTAAATTACAGTAAACTCTGTTGTTCGAAGTCAGAGCATTAAAATCTTTAGCTATAATCACAGTCTTGTTTGAATCAACAGACAGATGTATGTGTTCTGGTATATTCCATCATTAGGAATAGAGCCTTCCTGCACCTTTTGGTGTAAAGTGGCGGAAATCAGGGGGATGGGAGTATGCATATCTCCCCACTTTTTCACTGGAGGCCAGGGATGATGAGAAAAAAAATCAAGCCAATTTTGAGGAATTTTTCAGATGTTACAACCTCAATGTATTCATTAGCTCTGAAAAGGGAGAAAATGAAGGATGAAAGAAAATCCTATAAATAGGACCTGGCGCTGTTTTGAGATGAGGGTCAGGGGTGGAAGTATGTTAAAGATGTACACATTAATCATGAACAATGCCCCTATTTGCCATATCTTGTCAGCACCCCCACTCCGGCTTTTCAAATTTTCATGGCTAAGCAATTTTTGGATTTACGTCATTACGTCAGCATAAATTTACGTCAATGTCCATGTTGTTTGTATGGAACTATACGCGCGCTTTATCCGAGGCTTAATTTGGGCTTTCGGGAGACACGCTGCTACACTAAGAAAATTATTCCAAAAAGTTAAACCTTTTCTGGGAAAA